TGCTTGTTTGTCATAACATATGATCTGTCACATCTCTATGCCAAATAATTTATAAAAAATTAATTTCACAAGACTATGCTAACCGTATGTACTACATATTAAAAAAATTTATTTAATTTTCATATGTTTGTTCAAATATGTATTGCTATACAGTACTACTTTACTAAATAAATTAAATTACCAAAAAGGGAGATCGTCTAAAGCTATGTAGTTTTTAAGTTGATTAATAATAAATTTGTAAAGTAAAAGTCATGTATGGCATATAAATTACTACCTGGCTTTAGACGATCCCCAAAAAGGTACTAATTTGTCTAATCACATAATTAGTAACTTACCACAACTACTTATCATAAGTCATAAAATCTAATTTTATAAATTATATAAATATAAAAATGTAACACAACCCTACCTGTCATTTTCACTTCTATCGGGATTTAAAGTAAGCCCAGATGCTTCAAATAACTTTATTAAAAGTTTCTGACTAATTTCTTTCCATGTTTCAGATACCCACTTACAAATCAACTCATATGTTGCTTTTTTGTGGTTTCCACTTTTTGTATATTCTCTTTCACTATTGCTTATCCACTCAACCCATCTTTTTCTTATACCACTCTTAAATGATTCACCTGGAATTTTTAGAACTTTGCATAGAGTTAGTAAAAAAAAGAGGGATAGTAAAAGAACAGCTTAAAACACAATTTAAAAACAAGTAATAATTAAAGTTTATTATAGTTAATTTAAATTTAAACATATTTAGATTATAACTATTACTTGTTTTTAAGTACTAATAAAAAATTTTTGCTATCTCTACCTCCAAGCCTTCGGTATTTAATGATTTTATTACATCATCCCGTGCATGACTTTTAGGAATATCAACAAATCCTATGCCTTTTTTTTTGAAAAATCCATCTGGTCTTGATCCAATAACTTTTGGGATATATGAAGAAAGCATTAAATCTCTATGCATAGTTCTGCTAGATGCTGAAGCAACAACAATATCTCTTGAAAACTTTCTTTTAGGTATTTTTTTAAGCTTAAATATTATCATAGGCAGAAGTTTATACTCAGAGGCAGTATAACCTAAAACCATATGTGTCAAAAATACTCACTTAGCAAAAAAAAATAAAATAAAATAATAATAATAATAATAAAACCTAAAACAACAGTAAAACGCAATTTATCATTTCCAGTAGTTTTAATTCAAACTTCATGAACTCCCTGAAAACAATTGTCGAATTTCATGGCAGATCAAACCAAAATGGTGTCTCATCAAATGAAAGTATATATTTTTTTTCAAAATTTTTTGTGGCTTCACGTGAAATTTTAAGAAAATCACTAACAATTTGTGGTATATTCTCAGGAAATTTTTGAGCTATTTGAGTTTTTGTTCTTTGAACTAAGTTATTTCGTAATTTGAACTTATCAATCCAATCACGTGAAGCTTTAAAATCTCTAATCTTCAATGTTTTGGCTAATGCTTTTGC